TTTACTTACATGTGTTCAAGTTCTTTTTATACACATTGCATGCATACGTGCATTGCTTTACTTACATGTGTTCAAGTTCCTTTCTATACACATTATATGCATACGTGCATTGCTTTACTTACATGTGTTCAAGTTCTTCTTATACACATTGCATGCATACGTGCATTGCTTTACTTACATGTGTTCAAGTTCTTCTTATACACATTGCATGCGTTGTCGCGTTATGCTTTACTTACATGTGTTTACCTTCATAGCATTGTTATGCTTGTTTCAAATCATATTGTCGTGCGTTCTATTCGACTTGCATTGTCATGCACTTTCAATTGCATTGTTATGCATATTGCTAACGATATTGTACCTGTTAAGTTTTCTTTCTCTTTCAGGCACGATATTGTATGTACGGTACATTTGAAGCTGGTGCAACCAGACGAACTGCACAGGTATTGTATTCTTCGCGTGAAACGTAGTGAGAATTACATAATTCTCTTACATCCTTTCTGCATTGTAATGTAGTTGGATTTGTGTTTGATTACTTAAAATTGTTGCATGATATGCTTCGTTGCAGCTTTCTTTGCATGATCATAAGTTATGTTCGGCTTCTTGCATTGTCAGTTACATTTTGCCCCTGCCCTCGGGTGCATATCTTATCTGTAGCTTGTATGTTTGTCTAAGTCTTCGGCCTTGTCAAAAATGGGTCGTCTCTGGGCTTTGACACTCACTCCCGTCATTGTTATGACTTTCGAGTTCTGTCAAAGAAGGGCAACTGTAGACATCCCATTTTCGACCGTCCTCAAGACTTGGACGTCACCGCTTGAACACTCGGTGATCATCCATGTTCATGTTTGTTTTGAGTTCCCGGAGGTCTTGGCTACGCGCCTTGTCTCAGGATCTCTCGACTTGCTTGTTCTGTGCTTGGTTTTACACCAAGGACTTGTTTGTTTTTGCACCTAAGGGTAGAGAGTAGCTTGCTAGCTACCCCTGATACCCACCAGCCATGGCTTGAGGCCACCGGCCGTGTTTTGAGGCTACCGGCCATTGGTGAAATAGTCCATTGGCCGGTCGACATTTTGTGTGGCCGGCCAACCACCTGTTTGGCCGATGGCCTCCTTTTCTGGCCGGTACCACCTTTTTGCCTTTTTCAGGCATGGTACATGCCAGCTGTGCCAACTGGAATGCACAAACCCTGCCCCGTGCACATCTGTGGCTGTTTTGCCCCTTTTGCACCCTTTTGGTCTAGCTTCTTGAGGAAGCTTGGACCTTTCTCTTAACTTCCTCAAGAATCTTGGACCCTACCTCAACTTCCTCAGGAAGCCTTGGCCCCTTTACCTTGGCTTCTTGAAGAAGTCTTGATCCTTTTAATTAGCTTCTCTTGGAAGCTTAGCACCTTTGATGGTCTATATAAGGAGAAAAACCCTCTCCTTTGTTTTGGTTCAGCAAAATCAGACCTAGAACATATATATTCTGATACATACATCTTCTCTCTCTATATCTCCCTCTCTCTCTTCATTTGTGTGTGTTTGAGGGCCTAAAAGGGTGATTTGTTCTTACTTTTGCACTAAGACACACACCATTACACCATACTTCGACTTTGGGAGGTGTTGAGGGTTTATTCTTGAGGTTTTGAGCTGGTTTTGATCATAAGAAGGTGGCTGGACTTGCTGTTCTTGAGGTGTTCTTCAAGGGTAACACTTTTGCTTTAAATTCTCCAATCTTGCACTAGCTTTTGACCTACTTTGCATACTGATTTGAGCTTCGTGTATAACTGAAAAAAGTCTTGTATTTGCATGCTCAAGATACTTCATTAAGGTCATTTTGTTGCTTGGGGTCGATCTCCCCCTCTTAGGCCTTGTTTGGCCCTTTTTGTACTCTCTTTGTTAAGCTTTGAAACCTCTTGTGTATTGGCCTTCTCACCACTGAAATCCAGTGGATTTTCAGTGGTGAAGAAGGGTTTTGAGGTCTTATATAGGGGAGGGACACCCCTCTCCCTTTATCTCTCTTTTTTTTGCATTTTTGGGTCTTAATGGTAGCATGCATGAGTAGTTGTCTTTGGTACCATTTCAAAGATTTTTGGATGTTGTTAGGTCACAATATGCCTCTATTTTTGGTCGGATTAATGACCCTTTCATGCCTAATATACTTGCCTTGTATTCCCTCATTTTGCCTTGAAGTGCATCTTGCATTTAGCCTACCATGCTCTCATATTTTGGCCAAACTTTGTGAAGTTCTTTGCCATGTCTTACCATGCTTGAGGTCTGTGGGGTGCTGTTTTGATCATATTTTCCATGTTTGGTATAGCCTCTTTGCATTTTAGCTTGTGAGCCTTGAGGGTGTGAGTTATGAGCATGCTTTAGTTGGGTTGTTTCAGTGATTTGGGGTCATTTTACATGCCGTCTCAGTCCCTAATCCATGCTTGCATGATTGCATTCATCATCCCTTTCATGCCTCAAAGAGTTGTCTTGTTGAGCCTTAAAATGAGCATTGTGCATGCTTATGTGTTTGAGGCTTTGGGTTGCCATGACATTGGGTTTTAGGGGTCCCTTTTGCATGCTAAAACTCTATTTTGCATTAAAAAATCCATGTCTTATTTGCTTGGGGTAGGAGTTGAGTAATGCCCTCATTTGAGGCCTTGAATGCTCCCTTTTTTTTTTACATCCATTTCCTAGCATATTTCGGCATCATCCTTCGTATGTTTTTTTTTCAGAGTTTAACATGAGTGTTTGATGTCTTTGTTCGTCACCCTTAAGTGTCCTTGAGGGCTCCCCCTCCCATGCTTAGGTGATAGGCCTTGATGTGTGCACGCTTGCATGCCAAATTTGTGCCATTTTTGGCTCTTTTGGCCACTGTTTTAGGGTGTGGCTGAGGCCTCCCATTTCAGTCTAAGTCCATCCTTGTGTATAGTGGTATGTTTGATTTATTGCCTCTAGTTGCATGCTTGCAATATACCATGTTTGCATTACATGATAGGTTGCATTGCATTGCATCTCGCATGCTTAATACATTACATTTGCATACATAGGTTACATTGCATTTGGCATGTTTTGTGCCTTAGTCATTTCGCACATTTGGGCCATGTTTGTATACATGCATTGCATTGCTTGTTTTGGGGTGTCAAACCAAGCATGAGGGGTGAGGTGTGTTCGTACTCAAAGTGACGAAACACGTCTCACTCCTCGGTTGCCAATGCCCTTGATCTCAAGCATGATAGGGTGTAAGACACTCATCTCTTTTATTGCATGCATTTTACATTGAATGGCAAGCTTGGCTTCTTAGGCCATCATGCATCAAAATGCATAATTGATGGCCCGAGGGTCGAGAGCCACGCTCCCTTGAGCCCATTGCATGATAGGGAGTGCGGCCACGCACACATTTGCTTGAAAATCCCATACCATACACTGTCTGTCCTTTGCTACTGTCAAAACAGATTTCTGCAGGAACATTTGGCCGACCGACTACTTATTGTGCCGACCGACCAAATACAATTAGCCGATAGTTAAACCAATGGTCGATGACTATTCCCTTTGGCCGGTGATGTTCCCACTTGGTCGATGATGCTCCTCAATGTTCAGAGAAGCATCCTTGGGACTCATGAAAATTTTCAGAGGAGCAAGGTAGTGTAAACTGAGGCAACAGTGGCATGGTATGGGTTTCCAGGCGAGACGAGTCAAGCATGCACCATTCGCGCATTCCGAGGCAGGGCTGCGGCCATCTTCTTTCTATATTTAATTCGTTAATTAATTAGAAGTTCTGTAATAATTAATTTAGCAGTATTCATTTGGTTGTGTAATATTATTCGGACCCTCCGAACGAGGGCAATTGTGTAATAAGTGTGCGTGAGTGTGTGTATGTCTTCCAACCCCACGACTTTCTTCCCTTTTGTTTACTAGCTTTCGATGGTTAGTTTAGGGCATGTTTCAATTAGCATACTTATGATAGCATGTTTGCATACATTCATTCATTTTGCATGCACCGGGCTCGACGCATCATACTAACTGCATTTGTATTTCAATCCCAAATTGAATACGTGTTAGCTGTAGCATTTCACATGTCATTTTAGAATTAGAATAGCCGAGCCTGCTATAGTTGCATTCCTGCATGTGTTACATTAAGCATTTCTGTATAATTAGGACCATGCATGGATTTCTAACATAGCTTTTGTTTTGGCTTGGAGTACTCTATAAGTCTTTTTGCTTTAGCATCCTTGCATGCGTGTGAATATTGCCATGACAGCATGCTTACCATGAGGCTATTTGCTTATATGATATAACTGCTTGAATGCCTGTGGGTGGAGGTTGAATTACCTGAATTGGAATAATGCATTAAAATTGTGAGTTTTACGCCCACTAGATAGTGGCAAAACCATATTTTCTAAGCCCACCCGAAGGTGGCAAAATTTGCATTTTAGCCTACTTACAAGTAGCAGACCGTTTTCAAAACAAACATGAAATGTTTTGTTCCAATTCAGGCGATCCAGTCTATACTTTTGTGCTGTGCGCATCACATAGTAAATCTAGGCTAATAACCGGAATAAGAACGCATAATGTTTTCAAAACAAGATATCATGGTTAGTAGAGGCCGATCTTCGGATCGGGCGAGAGGGGGTGCTCATAGCTGACCTTCCCCAATCGTCCACAAGTTCCCGAGCCGAGGCAACTCTGATGATGACGGACACGTGGCCTTAGGCAAACGAGTCAGGGTTTCCTAAATTTTCCCGAAATAAAATATTTAGGTGTCGACTCTGTATCTAGCAAAGCAGTCCATGTTTGGCACTTCTTTCTAAAAATCTGTTTTGCAAAATGATTTGCCGGATTTAAACTCTTTGGTTCAGATTAAGAACCATGATCCAAGATCACTTATGGTGAATAAAAAAATAGAAACCAAGTAGCACACACACTCGAAACAATAAAAAAGAACAACAGGAGAAGAGAAGACATGAAAGAAACAAATTCATCATGGCTTTGACAAGTGGCCATAATTTATTATAAGCCTCCAAATTAACGTAGTTAATTATTAAGAGGAGGCAATGGAACTGAAATACTGGGGTTGATGGAGAAAAGAGTGATGAAGTCTTGGTCACAGAGCAGTTTGTCCATTTGACTTTGAGGCAAGACTAGAATTACTTCTACTCCATCCCCTGATTTGGTATCCATCAAAAAAATGACAATTGAGTACACCAAGCCATTTCCATCTCGAACAGGACTAACAATCCAGAGAGGCTTTCCCCATCCAAAGTCGACATCGTAGAACCCTAACCCACACCAAGGAGCACACGTATATAGATCAGGTGTTTCATCTGAATACATGTTTCTCAACTCATCTATAACTCCACTCATAACCGCAAACCTTTGGTCTCCTTGTAAGCTTAGTATGTGATCGACATTGATTTTCTGTACGGCTCCACTCAGTAACTCCACCATGCTACGTAGCTCTGTTGCCTCTTCTTCCCTATGGTGTACCACTGCATACCACACTATGTTTCCAATCGAATTCTGTGACATTGGCGGCACCATTTTGGGTTTCATGTTTACTGCAAAATACATTACACTTGGTTTTTGGGAGCCCAAAAATGATGTAGATGCGGAGACAGCACAGTTCCATATGAAGCTAGCCACAACTTGGAACCGAGTTGGATTGGGCACAGCTTTGCTAGCCACCTTGGCTTTTAGTAAAGATATTGCTGCACCATCGATCACAAATCTCGTCGATACTCCACATTCTTTTTTATGTAACCACTTTTGATTGAACATATATGATACCAGTTTCTCTGGCGGTGGCAATTGGGAGTCACTTCGGGGAGGGAAGAGCGAGGCTGCATTGATATTGGGGGAGCATGAATCTGATTCTTTGCCCAGTGGCCTGCTTGCAATGGCTGCCCAGCAACTGATGAAAGTCATTAGAGCAGTTGCGTCGATGATTTGGTGCAGGAAGTATAAGCCGATACATATTCCCCCACAAGTAAATATGTTTACCTGAATAACCATTTGTGCGGCATCATTCAGTCTCTCAATTGGAATTGGAATTTCTACTATTGGAAGAAGGCGAAAGACTAAGTTGTTGGTATCGGGGGGATTGAGAAATTCAGACAATTGACAGTTAACTTTGGCTTGTGAAAAAAGAACACCCTCATCGTTACAATCGATTGAGAGATGACCTTTAATCCGCCCTGCAAGTGGGTAGAAGATCGATAAGGCTTCGGCCAGAGAATCCTTCAGGTTTTGCAATATTTGGTTAGCATTGATGGTGGGGGAATAGAAGATGGTTGTTGGAATATAAAATGGAGGAGTGATCTGGTCTAAAAGAGAGAGATTGAAGTTTTTTAGGTGGGAAGGTGTTGGTGAAGATGGCCTGATGGTTTCACTGGAAACTATTTCAACATCAAAGACATCCATATTCACCATTTTTGCTGTCTAACAGAGCTAACAAGCATGCCCTTTTTATAATTTTCTACGCATAATCAAACCTGTCTCACTCTGGTGCACCTGACCTGTATGTAGGTTAGAATATTTATATTATTATTTCTTATTTCTTACTTGTGTAAACCGTACGGTAATAATACCATTGTAATAATGTGATCACCAAAAATACTTGGGACCCTTCTCGGAATGTCCCACATTCTTTGTGACCCTCTCTCTATTTATGTGTGAGACTTATTTATATATGTTTAGGATATACATCATGAATGATTCAGATTTGTAAGAATTTTGTAACGTTCTGTGAGATGTGAATCTCAATTATTGCTCATGTGATCACGCCTCGCCTCTTTTTCCGTTATTCTCTCGAGAAATTATTCGGTGCACTCTCCCTCACTGCCTTTTCTTTCTTTGCTCTTTCTAGAGCTCTCTGTCTCAATTTTGAGTAATCACAAAACTACCCACCATTTTACCAAATTACACAAACTATATAAATACACATATTTTACTCTATTTTGGGCAATTCGATTCTTGGTTTAGTTCAAGCCTCCTGGTGGTCATGAATATTGGATAAGAGACGTTGTGAGCTTTTTAAATTTTATTTTAGAACTACTTTACTTCGGTTGTACCTTCGCGAAAGGAAGGAAAAGTAGTTGGTTGAGTGATTAGTTTTTGAAAAAATTACCTCTTGTTTAGTTGGGAGATTTGAAAAGAAAAAAAGAAAAAGTAGGTGAAATGTGAATAAAATATATTTACATTTTACATAGTTTCACATACTGTTTTCCTTTATTTTTTCATTTCCAAATCTCTTTCCAAATTTTCTAACCAAACACAATGTACATATCAATTAGATGTTTATAAAATATTTACAAGTTAGTGAAAAAAAATTATGAATTTAATTATTAATATTTATAAATTTTACCACTAATTTAAAAATATTTTTAAAAAGATGCCCTATGTTGTAATTCCCCCTTAGGTTTTTCACTCATGTGAGTACCTTCCTCTTGTATCGTATCTCGTGTTGAAATATTTTAATAAAAATAAAACACAATATTTAACTTTAAATTATTTTTATCCAGTTTCAGGATTCATATATCTTAATAATCAAACATTCTATTATAATATTTTATATCAAATCATTACATTCGATGTGCATTAGTTTTTAATGTCTTACAAAAATTATTTCTCTTTTAATTATTGTCTTGTAAATTACACTGTTAGTCAGTCCCTTTTAGATGGTATGAAATTTTATTTTAGTAGTTTTAATTTAGGGTTAAATCTATTTTACCCCTTTATGGTTTGGTTTTAAAGTATTTTTCTTTTTTATGATTTAAAAATAACCAAAAACACCTCATGTGATTTTGAACATTCTGTACTTTACCTTCTTAATGTTAGTAATTCCGTCAAAGTTAACAAAATTTATATATGGTTATTAATTTCATCAAAGAAGGAAATTTGTAGAAGAGGCGCGGATTTTGAGATTTGGTATGACTAAAACATTCAATCAAAATCAAATTTCACAGTAAAAGGGCAAATTTATCTTTTTCTCTTCTTCTCATTTGAGTTAAAAAGTTAGTTTTTAGACTTTTTTTTAATTTTTTTTTTAAAAAAGTGTATAAAAAATAAGAATATAATGTGACCTAAAAAATATTAAAAGTTAAAAAACTATTTTTAACCTCTTTCCCAAAAAACGTCACACTCATTACCTCTCATCACACCCACCACCTCTACACCACATTGCAATCTAAGATTTTAAAGTTTCGTTTGACATTAGTTACAGTAGCCAACTTTTTGTGATGAGACTTTTTAGCCTGTCTTTTTTTAGCCTCATTTGATTTATTTTTTGACTTTTTTTGACTTTTATGAGAGAAAAAAGTGTAATAATTATGGTTTGAATGTAATATTTTATTTTATTGACTTATATAACCTATTTTATTTTTTTATACTTTTTTAGTCCCAAAATAAAAACCAAACAAGGACTAAGAACCGGTTGGTCTCACCTTGGTTGTCATCTCACAATCGATCAATGCTTCAAAGAGCTTCAAGGTAAAAAATGGCATGTGGGCAATAATGAAGAAATCATCTATGTCTACCCATCTATTTACATGTTAAGATCCTCTAGAGTGATCTCCTAGAGTGATTCATCCAAGGGATGAGATTCAGAATTACCAAAACGAAGTCATTTTGGTGAGTAATTTAAGAGAGAGAGAGAGAGAGAGAGAGAGAAAAAAAAAAAAAAAAAAAAAAAAAAAAAAAAAAAACTAGATTTCAAAATTCAACAGATATAGAAAGAGAGAGAAGAAAAGAGAGATGACATTGTCTCCTTGCCTTCCGACGCCCCTCCGCCGCCACTATCCTGCCGCCAACCGACTCCCTCACAGCTACTATATACATCGCCGGCACATTCTCCTTCCCTCCCGGCAACCCCACCCCAACTTTCCCCTCCCCTCCCCTCCCCTCCTTTGAAAATAGTTAATATTGAATTTTTTTTGTTTTTGTTTTTATTTTTGTTTTCGTTTTTGTAGAACATCAAAGAAGGGTTTTTGGTGTTTTCAAGAGGGTTTTAAGGGTTTGAGATAATGCAGAGGAAAAGGACACATATCACAACAGAAAGATCAACAACAACATATGGTGTTTGATGATAATCCTGAGTCCTATTTTCAATCTGATGTTTTGGGTTTGAAAAACAAAAACAATTCCCTTTTCAATGTCCCTGGTGTGTTTGTAGGGTTCAGTCCTAAAGTTTCAGATTCTGATTCAGTTTGGAGCCCAGTCTCTCCATTGGATTTTAGGGTTTTATCAAATCTAACCAACCCCTTTAGGTCCCCAAGATCATCATCCCACGAGGGTAGGCATCAAAAGAGGTAGGAGTGCAATAAAGTAGGTCTGGGCATTATTGATTCTCTTGATGATACAAAACATTTCGGGAAAATTCTCCAATCATCAGATAGTATGAATATCCTTTTCAGACCACAGATGAGGATTAAAACCCCAAATTGTCGAAATGGAATTGATTTTCTTGAGGCATCCAAGTCATTTTCTTGAGGCAGGACATCAGCTTGCGGCGGAGGGGCATCGAGAGGTAGGGAGACAACATCGTCTCTCTCTTTTTCTCTCTCTTTCTGTATCTACCGAATTTTGAAATCTGATTTTTTTTTTTAATTTTCAAATTACTCACCAAAAGGACGTCGTTTTGGTGAGGCTAAATCTCAGCCCTTAGAGAATACACTCTAGAGGATCTTAATGCTCTATTTACCGCGTCTCTCTCTTTCTATATTTGCTGAATTTTGAAATTTGATTTTTTTTTTTTTTTCAAATTACTCACTGTAGACGCACCCTCGGGCCTCTCTACAGTTCGGACTCAATTTGTGTCACAGTCCTGTATCTAATCTCGTGGAGTGCAATGCAAGACCGATGAATCATCAAAGAGTCCAAATCCGGCAAATCGTTTTTGAAAACAGATTTTTTGAAAGAAGTGCCAAACATGGACTGCTTTGCCAGATACAGAGTCGCCACCTAAATATTTATTTTTGGGGAATTTAGGAAACCCTAACTCGGTGCCTAAGGGCCTCTACTAACCATGATATCTAGTTTTGAAAACATTATGCGTTCTTATTCCGATTATTAGCCTAGATTTACTATATGATACGCACAGCATACACGTATAGACTGGATCGCCTGAATTGGAACGAAACAATTCATGTTTGTTTATTTTGAAAATGGTTTGATGGTGCTACCCGCAAGTAGGCTAAGACGTGGATTTGCCACCCTCGGGTGGGCTTAGAAAACATGGTTTTTGCCACTATCTAGTGGGTTTAAAACTCACAATTAATGAATTGTTCCAATTCAAATAACCCAACCTTCACCCACAGGCATTCAGGCAACTATATCATATAAGCACTTAGCCTCATGGTAAGCATGCTATCATGGCAGTCACTCACACGCATGCAAGGATGCTAAAGCATAAACACTTATCGAGTACTCCAAGCCAAAACAAAAGCTATGTTAGAAATCCATGCATGATCCTAACTATACAGAAATGCCTAATGCAACACATGTAGGAATGCAACTGCAATAGGCTCGGCTATTCTAAGATGGCATATGATGATGCTACAGCTAACACGTATTCAATTTGGAATTGAAATACAAATGCAGTTAGTATGATGTGCCGAGCCCGGTGCATGCAAGACAGATGAATGATGCAAACATGCAAGCATAAGTATGCTAATTGAAACATGTCCTAAACTAACCATTATAAACTGGTAAATAAAAGGGAGAAAGACGTGGGGTTGGAAGACATGCATCACACACACGCACACTTATTACAATTGCGCCCTCGCTCGGAGGGTCCGAATAAATAATATACAGTCCAAAATGAATAACTAAATATTACAAAATTAGGAAAGTGATAAATTTGCACGCAAATCTATGGATCGCCTCAGCTCTGTTCCAAATGACAAATGATGCATGCTCGAGTTGCCTTGGTCGGGAAATTCCTTGCGATGCCCCGATTCGCCTCTGTTTGCAATTAATGCAAGAATATTGCGCAACGCTCCAGAAGGCCGCTAATTTCTGATTTACTACAACAGAGAACAACAAAGGGGCATGGCAAAGTATTTCACATATGTATGCATAACTACTCTTCAGGGAGTGTAGTCCTCGATCCTCGTGCCACCAATCACGCATATCGATGCATGATGCATCAGTGGCCATGAGATGGAAAAGAGACAACCGAAATGCGTGCACACGTGCACGCATACCGAGGACCGAAGGCATAAAATACCACTCTATCAAAGCATGGCAAGGGATGAAAGATGGCATACAAACATGTAATTTCCAGCGCTGAAACATGATGCTAAATGGTCCCGAAACATGGAAATATGGCACCCGATGCATGGAATAAGCCTTGAAACTCAAAACTAAGCACATGTATTGAACTACAAGTATACAAAGCAAGCATTATTTGATCATGAAGTCAAAAGACAGAG